ACCTTGTACGACACGTGTCACTGTGACAGTTAGTTTTGACGTAAGAAACCTCAAAAGTTGATGTCGTCTGATTGCGACCGAGCGACGGTGCACACCAATGACCTCTAAATTTCGATGTCATTGGTGCACACGATCCCACCATGTAAAGTTGGCTAAGACGTTTCGTTTACCTCTTTATCAGGGTGGGACTGAGGATTTGATATTGAAGAAAAATGTGGATCGATTGGAAACAAATTCGGCACGTGGATAGAGGTACCCGAATGGAGTCCTCTGACAAACAGATGGAAGCAAGAAGAAACTTCAAATACGCACACACTTTTTTTTAATATTACATTTTATTATACTAACAATTTTTTTTAAATATATTTTTACCAGAAAAATAAACGAAAACATTATCTATCCCAAATATATTTTTGTTTATTATTTTCTTAAACTTAATTTTCATTTGAAGACGCGAATTAATTCAAAAAAATCCATATGAGTTAGTCCGTCCCTGCATTGAATGGAATTTACGAGTCCTCCAGGATCTGGAATGGAACAGGGACGCGTCATCCAGCTTTGCGACGGCCGTTTTATGCAGATAAGCCCGTTTTAATTACCCAAGGAACTCGCAGTTACCGACAAAACGACCGGCAAAATAAACGAAACACAAGCTACATATTTGGCTTCGGAACTGGCTATCTCACCTTGCATTTTTTATATTTTCTTATATAATGTCTCTAATAGTTCGTTAAACAGTTGGATTGCAACCATTTTCATTTGTCATTTGATGAGTTAGTCAAAGATATTTGGCTAACTAAGGACCTACCGTTGATACTCTCCAATAAAAATATTAAAAAAGTAAAGTATGTTAAGTTAACTTCTCGTTTTTGCTGCTTGGAAATGACCTTTGATGACATTACCCATAAAATTTTCCATATAAAATGGTAGCAATCTTCATTTCCAAGCCATCTCTGACACCGTTTTTGTATCAATCATATTGTGTTACGAGCATATCAGTAAAAGCACCGTAATGCATATATAAATTCACCTTTAGCCAAATATATGAAACGTCAATATTTGACATTTCAACTATTTTATCAAAGTATTCCTTATTTTACCCATATATTTCAGGAGCTTACAGCTTACCAACGTAATTATAATCTGGTTTTACAACGGAATAGAGCCTTAAGCAGTTAATTATAATTATACCATACGATAAAAAAAAACGGCGTCACAGATGCCTTGGAAATGACGATCATTTTATATTTATATCTAAAATAAATGATGAATGTCGTCGATCTTCATTTAAAGCAAACTTTTTTCGCTCATACGGTATGTATTTACCATACACAGAAATATTTTTATAATATCTCCACAAGTCTGTGATATCACCAAGTGTCTCTGACTAAGTTGATATCACCGAAACACAAAACATCCACCTTTAGAACATGTTTTGTAATGGAAATGACCGGAAGTAAAAGCTATACTGGTGCGAACAAATACTAGAAGCGCTGCTACACTGATAAAAAAGAAAGACTTGAACTAAAGTCGTCATCGTTCTTGAAAAAAAAAATTTAGTGGCAAGAGAATTTATTTTAGCGTAAAAGAAAATATTTTGCCTGAAGAAAAACTCTCTTAACTGAAGGAAACTGGTTCTCTTGAAAAATTCGAGAATTTCTCTTGAATCTATTTTCATTCAATCAAGTGCAAGTTACTTTGTTTTAAGATAATAAGAAAAATACGCTAGGAAGTACTTCATTCAAGAAACATGGCCATTTTTCTAATAGTTAAATACTCTTTTGATGAAAAATAATAACGACACGCAAAGCCGATGACGAAGGACGGTATATACAATCAGTCGGCATTCCGATCAGTCGTACGTCGCATTTCATAGGTCGCACATCATAGTACGCACGCGTTTTGTTCCTTGGAATTTTCTAATTGGAATTTTGCAAAATTCGCTTTTTAAACGCATATCGTATAACAAATTAGTGGTCGTTATTAACATGCATTTGTCATTTTTTATGGACAAATTTTAAGATATATGGATTCTTTAAAGGAGTTTCTGAAAAAAATGGAAATTAGAGCATTTATTTGCTATATTTGAAAGTAAGAGACATTTACTTAATGCACCTGTTTAGATAATGCATGCGTGACTATAGATAGAATAAGAATATAGGTATCAATTTTTTTATGCAAATAATTACAAAAATTTTAGAATTTCAAGTCGTCGTATTAAAAAATTCAAAATGGGACCAAAGCTTATAATTTTAATAATTTATTTGCTTTACTTTGATTAATCGTGATGTAATATTTTTTTGTAATTTATAGAGTGATGAACCACCCCAAAAATACCAAGGAGTGAAGAAGCAGAAATAACTACTATCGAGGAAAATAATATCACTTTACTTACTACAGACCAGGAAGACCTAAATTTATCAGAAAATAATATACCTCGTAATATGCCTGTATATGATGTATAGACTTCTCTTAGATCTAAATAAATTTTAGTTGAGTCAATAGTATTCGTTATTGGTTTAAAAAAAGTGTCTCTTTAATCAAGAAATGTCCCTTTTCAATCAAGAATTTTTGCATGAATCAAAGAGACTATTGTTCTTGTAGCAAGAACTTCTTTGCATATTCATTTTGGGTCAAGAGTGAGATGCTTTGAACGGATAGATTATTCTATTCTCTAAAGTAATTTTTTGAAGCTTATGAAAAGATAGTTAATGCTTTGGGCAAAGAAACGTCGTTCTTGGCCCTATTGAAAAGCGCCAATCTTTTGGGTCAAAGTCATATTCATTTCGACTGAGACTGAGAGATCCTTTTTTTCAGTGTAGTCATTAAAAAGTTGACAAATATTCGTTTGTTTTTTAAATAGGTATGTCAATGGGCGCGTTCAGGGACGGTCAGCAGCTGAGTGGCTGAGTAAGCGATTTCCCTAAACGGTCTATTCTGACGAACAGCAACAGTCAGCCGCTGTGCAAAATTCTCAGCGGTAAATATTTAGGCTGAGACAAGTCAGCCTTAATCTATTTCCTTATCTGTGGTCAATTAATGTAAAATAACTTTAATTTTCTTAGTTTATTGTTTACTTTTTATGGTGTGTTGAAGTTTATGGTTAATTGTAGTTAATCGAATCCTTAAAAAATAGGAGATATTTGTTGTCAAAAAAGTTACAGAGCAGTAGGTTAATCTAAAACGTTCGAAAAAAGACAATAATTGTAAATAGAGATCGAAGAAGTTAAAGAAATAAAGAAAATTCAACTTGATTTCCATCTCAAGTTGAGTTTTCTAAATACAATGAAATTAAAAAAAATACTACTCTGAAAAAATCTAAATCAGGATAAATAACTTTTGATTGTAATTATACCGTCTGATCGAAAAAAAATTGTCCCCAATTGGCTTAGAAATGACGATCGATAATATTCCCTATATAAGTTTACTTATAAAATAAGAGCAATATAAACTTATAAAATAACAGCAATATTTACCTCCACATCACCCCTGACGTCGTTTTTTTTTATTGTAGGGTATATCTACACCTTCAGTAATTTTATTTGTACCATACCATTCAAAAAAAAAAAGGCGTAAAAGGTGCCAGTTCCTGTTATTTTAAGTTGTTTTGCTTAGGTATATAGGTAAAATTATTTATAAATTGATATTTTTTAGAAATTTAATGTTTAATACTGTATTGTCAAATAATATATTTCCATTTATTAAATGATCAGCCAGTAATATATATTTTTTTCAAAATAATTTTTATTCGATCGATTATAGACCGATTTGACGAAGACGATTTATTTATATTTCTCTCAAATTTTTATACTAGACAGAGAGCGCATGAGACAGGTACTCTTTCTTGTTCTTTCTGCTGCTTTGTGCCGTTTAGGGAATATCATAAGCTGCTGGTCAGCGAAATTCTACGCTGAATGTCAGCGGCTGTGTTCTCTGAACGTGCCCAATATTTTTATTTCGCTATTTTTTGTGAATATGCTATTGCTAATGTGTTTTATGAATATGTATGCTAATTTTGATGATTGTTTTACCTGCGATAGAAGTAGTGTTTGATTGGGACATACATAAATTTTTTTTTTTGTAACAAAATAGGTATATTAAAATTAAATTATTATGTTATATATAAATTAGTTTATAGGTATGTAAAATACATAATTTATAATAACATTAATGATTGTTTTATTTTTATAAATGTTTGATTGGGTATAGATATAATTTTTTTTATTGTAACAAAATAGGTATATTAAAATTAAATTATATGTTATATATAAATTAGGTACATTTTTTTGTAATTTTAATATATAATGTAATTTTAATTTACCTATTTACAATTAAAAAAATGTTTCTGTAATATTCAAAAAAAAATAAATATAGAGATCATCGAACAAACTAAAGGGGCGTTTCTTTTACTTCCATTTTATGAAATATAAGTCAAAATTATAAAGGGGGACGTTTTGTGCACCGAACATTAACTTGTATTCATTAAACTGGAGGCATATTTCTTCATTTTAGTATTGGTGGCGCTATCTTCGCGGCGTTTTTAGAACTTTACCTTTTAGAAATCTATATGCTATGTTTTACATAATTTCAAGGTTCAGTAACAGATGGCGCCACGTTTAAAATCTTTAGATATTTACTAAATTTAGATAAAATCATCTTTTATATAATGTGGAAAATACTGAGAAATGCAACAAGACTAGTAATTTCATTGAATTAATCCGAATTCTTTTCGTCTTTTTCCAATGTATCTTCTGCTTTCTGCAATATTGGAATTTCGTATGTCGGTATCTACATATCTTTCATTGTAAGAGGTCACTGTAGATGGAGCCTCCGGAGGTTTTGTAGCGTTGCCAGATGTACGCGATTTTCATTGGAATTATTAAATTTTATTATTGTCATCCTTTTCTCTCAAGTGTGAACTGAGAAAAAGGGAAAGTTCAATGATATGAACAATTTTTACTTGGCAACATCGTATTGACAGCGTCTGTTTGGTTGTATTTTTGTTTTATTTTGTTTTGATAGAGTTTAGAGTTGTAAGTTAAGTGTGTCTTTTTAATTAAAATCTTTATTATTTAGGTGAAAACAGTGTTTCTGGTTATATATAAATAAAAGGTAACAGTGGAAATCGCAATCTAGAATTAACATATAAACCACATTAAAATTTAACTAAGTAGGCCATTAGAGATGAGCAGGAAATCGTAAACAACCTGCGACAGAGCCTGCGACCGCTTTTCATAGTAAACTGCGACTTGCGTGGAAACATCTATCTGCGGACTTAGGAATTTTACGCAACCAATATTACTTATGTAGACATGAATTAGGATTGATTGATATATTCACTTCTTTTCGGCCACTTCCTGTTTCATCGGAAATGACTACAACTTTTGATTTTTAAATGGCACCCACGGTATTTTTTTGCTTTATTCGATAGAAAATGACATTCTGAATATAATGACATATCATATTATGTTAACTTTGGACATTTTCGCTTAAAACAAAACTGTATTTTGAATTTCATTCTAGAGTACCATGGCTGCGTTAAAAACACTAATTTTTAATCAAAGGGCTTTGGAAAAATAGGTTTGTTCGTCTAATGTTTTTAGTGTCTTAGCCGCTTAAAATATGCCCAAATCGTATTTTTAATCATATCTCAATTTTTTCGCCATAGATTTTTTTAAACTATTCAAAATATTATTAAGTTTCACAAATTGTTTAAAATGACAAGCTTAAGAAAACGAATTTGTAATAAAAATATTTTTTTAAGTCTTTTCTAAACAATAAACGTCGGCTCCTAATAAATATAATATTATATTTACAATTTCAGATCAAAAAATTTTCTATGTCGTAGGTTTGACTTGGTTGACGTTGCGTTGGTTGTTTCTTTATTGATTTTTTTTTAGTTTAGCATATGCGTAATAATATGTTTCTTTTTACCAGGGATTAAAAATTCAGACGAACATGGAAGAGAAGAAATATGAAGAAAGAAGATACATCATAACTCAGGGTCAGAGAGCCGAAAAGCCATGGCTTTCGAAGGCCTACCAACAGGTTCTTGAAGCTGAAAGGCTGGGAATTTCTAGAAAAGTTCCACAGGCTGAAAGGCCTGGAAATTCAAGTGAAATTTCCCAAACTGCGTGGCAAGGAACTAGCCAATCTGTCAGAGTAAGTTCTCTAGAAGACGTGGACCTCATGACAGATGAAGAGATAAAAGCCGCAAAACTATCGGGCATCTCTAAAGCCAAAATCAAAAAACTGACAAAGCAAGGCTACGATTACATAGAGGCCAAAAAGGCCGTAATAAAGGCCAACTTTGTCAAGGTAGCTGAAAGAGCAAAAGGGGAACCGTCGAGGCATACAAAGGCCATGGCTAATCAGCAAAAATTACCGACCCAAAGCTCAAAAAGGCCGGGGTCAGATGGCCGACCCGAAAGCCAATACCAAGGCAAAAGACCAAAAACCGAAAGCGAAGCTACCGCTCTCGTTAAGATAGCGGCAGTACATGCAAGATTCCCGGAAGTGAATATGGAACTGGAAAAGCTGGAGGCAGTCCAAAAATCCATCTTAGCCGCGTATGAAGCAATTCAAGAAGGAGGGCCACAGGTACGCTTCCAGAAATTCACATATAAACCGGGTTTCCTAGAAATTACTTGTGCAGACTATACAAGTGCGACGTGGCTAAAGGAAATTATTCCAACTCTAAGACCATGGGAGGGAGCATCCCTTAAGGCACTGGAGGGGGAAGAAGCAACTATGTCCCACGTATGTATCGTCTTTATACCAGACGAAGACGGGGAGCGGCTTGAGATCAAGAGAATTCTCAATAGATTAAGGATTAGTAACCGCTGCCTGAAAACACATTTATGGAATGTCATGGAGAGCGAACCTATGGACAAAGGAGTCTTATGGACCTTCTCAGTGGACAAAGATTCAAGAGAAGAGCTTCATAAACTTGGAATGTCACCCTTCTTTGGGTTTGGGAAATTAACTTTCCGACCTATGTAAAGGAGGACAAAACATTGCTGCATAAGCTAGTGGCAATGTAGCAGGGGGTCAGTGTGGGGGTTCAGGAAGAGAAACAACCATCTATAGTACCATCCAACTCAAAAGGACACTTGTCTAGAAGCAGACTGGCTCTATCGAGGAAGGCGAGTCTTCTAAACCAGAACCTTTATGTTGAAGAGAGAAGGAAGTGTCCTGCAGGCAGGGTGCAAAAAATTATGATTTTTTAAAAAACATTCAAAAAATCGATTTTTTTAATTTTAATCAGATTTTTTTTATTTTAATCAATTTTCTATTTAAAGTCTTATCCTAAATGGCTAAATGTTTATAACTCTGTCCGATATTGACAATATTAACATTTCTACGGCGCGTGTCGTTTTTCCATATCCCGGTCACCGATATATTTTTTTCTGTAAACTTTGCCAATGCCCCTATTTCCGCAAAAAAAATCGCCCCTTTAGATCAAACGGACTGTTTTAGGAAATACTCATCACTGTCTTAAGTCGAGAATAAAATTAGTACCATCTACTGTTCAAAGTGCAAAGTACTTATTGCAAAACAAAATGTCGGTAGAAATTTGGAATGAAGTAGAAGATGAATTAGGGAAGACGGAAGTTAGCTTGATCAACATTCAGCTGTTTCAAAAAAGGTATAAAACAGCCTTGACTCTGGTTTATCTTTTGACATTGATTAGGCCTCTGCAATAAAAATATAACCTGACATCAGAAGAAACTAGTTCTGCACTAGAGATTGCGAATGAAATGTATTCAAATACCGGAGTTCTGGCACTTCACAGTCTCAAAATAAATTTCTGTCATTTAGAAGTGTAATGGATTCACACGAAATAACTTCAAAAATCGGTCCAACATTTTAATAGATGAATAGATATTAGGTATATGTGATATATGTTATATCTTTTACAATTATTATTCTTCGATCTATTAAAGTATTTAATCGTTAGGGTATTATAGGGTATATTTAATATACGAATACTTTTTTATAGCTTTATAGGAATAGTTTTTATAATTTTTACAGTTATCTTTCGATTTATCATAAGTTTTTAAACAAATTGCTTATTTTGATTGAAATCCATGATTAAAATTAAAAAAATCCGTTGATTTAAGTCAAGTTGATTTAAATCATTGCACCCGGCCTGCAGATGAGCCTTCGAAAGGAAGAAGAAATAAGATACATTATTAATCGGGGCCATAGAGAAACCAAAGCCGAGAAGTCATGGATCTTGAAGGCCTACAACAAGGTTCTTTAAGCTGAAAGCAGGCAGAGGATATCTAGAGAAATACCACAAGCCGAAAGACCATGAAATTCAAAAGCAATATCCCAAGCTGCAAGGCGAAGAACTACGCTACCAAAACCTTTACAATGAATAGAGAAAGAAAGCTCCTGCAGACGAGCCTTCAGAAAAGAAAATACATTATAAATCAGGGCCATAGAGAAACAAAAGCCAAAAGCCGTGGATCCGGAAGACAAGGTTCTTGACCTACAACAAGGTTCTTGAAGCTCAAAGGCAAAGGAAGCCGAGAAAAATTCTACAGGCCGGAAGGCTATGAAATTCAAAAGAGATTTCCCAAGGTGCAAGGCAAAGAACCCACCTATAACGTGGAATAGAGAAGAAAGAGTCCTGTAGACGAGCCTTCAGAAAAAATACATTATAAATCAGGGCCATAGAGAAACCAAAGCCAAACGCCGTGGATCTCGAAGGCATACAACAAGGTTCCTGAAGCTCAAAGGCAGAGGACGCTAGAGAAATTCCAAAGGCCATGAAATTCAAAAGAGATTGCAAGGCAAAGAATTCATAATTATTTTATTTTATTATTTAATTCATAATTAATTAATTGATAAAGTAATATTAACTTTATAAAACAAATTAATGCTAAAAATATTTATCATTTAACAATTTTGTTTTATAAATAAAGAATTTTGTTTCGTCAAACCACATAGAAAGACATTAACAGAATATGATAATAAATTTCATGTTTTAGTGTAGGAATTTTTTTAATTAAAACCAAGAAAATTATATTTTCTCTGTAGCAGTTGCATATCAGCAGATTTAGAAGAGCATCTAAATAATATAGTTGTTAACTAGCTCCAATCTGTTATTTATGTATTTCAATTCCGTGCCAATTTGCAGTAAAGTAAATATTATACACCGTATGATCGAAAAAAACGGCATTTAAGATGGCTGGGGTATGACAATAGATGATAATTTTGGAGAAGTCAAGCCCTAATTAACCTTTTAACTTATTTTAACGTTTACTAAAAATTAACATATAAATCTTGTCAAAAATTAACGCTAATTATACAAAGATGAAAAAAGATAAGATATTTCAACACACAAATCTAATTCCAAAAAACTGTTTTCTCAAATTTTAAACAACACCATTTAAACATTATTTTTACTCAATACAAAAATAAATTACAATCTAAATTACAAACTTTAATGGCAGTAAACGCCATTAAACAATAAAGAAGAGTATGGGACAAGTAAACGACGTCTAGCGTTTAACCTCGCCAAAATTACCAATTGTCATTCTCCAGCCATCTTTGATGCTGTTTTTTTTCCTCGATCATATGGTATTATATACTTCATGAATTCGGAACTATTATTATACCAATAATACCCAATTTGACACCACCCTTAAGAAATACATGTATATTGTACGTACTGTGGAGTGATTTTTATAACATTTTAATTTTTGAATTAGTACTTATAGAACTGGAATTTTTAATTAATAAATACTACAAGAGGTTTTCATATGAAATAAATTGATCATATTAATAATTCTTTTATTAAAAAATATGGCAAATACAAATTAATTTAAACATGATGGTATGACAATGCTGTAGAGGGTATAAATGACTTAAGTACAAAATAATTTGGTGTTTACTTCTTGTAAAATATGTTGGTTTTCCATAAAAAGTCAATTATACATTTCATCTGAGATGCTAGGCAAATATATTTTAATCTTAATTTATATAAATACATTCACCTGGCATAGAGTGTACTATTAGAGAAAATTTATTCTAAATTCTTACTTTGTAAATAACTTGTAGAGTTTTTTTTCGCACTTATTCATTTACACTCTGTATTATTTTAATAATCCATCAACTTTAGAGCAGTCTCTATGCATCTCCATTTTGTGGGAAGATAAAAAGGTTCAAAAACGTGAGGGAATGGCGTATCAGGTCCTGTCACTCTAGCCACAGGTGCTTCCAAATTTAAGAAACAATGATCCTAAAAGTAAAATATATTGTACCGTATGATCGAAAAAAAAACGGCGTCCAGTTGGCTGGGAAATGACGATCGATGACATTTTCCCATATAAATTTACATATAAAATGACAGCGATCTTCATTTCATAGCCATCTCTGACGCCGTTTTTATTCGATCATGCGGTACTATATTGTATATATGGACTATTCTAGTGAAGTGATTCATGGTTGTCGAGAGACTAAGTAAATGTAGAGACGGCAATGACAACTTTTCTCCGAGACTGATACACTTATTTTATTTATAACCACACCGGCATTTTTTTCGAAAGGAAAGCTAGAATTTTATTTTAATATAAAATGCAGTAAAAATGTCAAAATGTGGTATTCTTTGTTATGAAGTACGATACGCTGGGTGAGTCTCAAATCATCATCATCATCATCATTTTAAGCTTATTCAACTCTTTCCAATTATAGTGTAGCCATTGATGGCTATGCGGGCCCAAATTATCCCTACTAATTTCCTAATTTCCTAGTGTCATGATCCCATCTCAGGTTTGGTCTTCTTAGTCTCTTAATTAGTGTATTAGTTGTCACAAATATATATATTCTTCTACTGTTTCCAGTATTATGTTATTTATTAGGATGTCTTTTCTGTCTACAAATTCGTTATACATTTAGTTCGTTAATTTGTGCTTGTAGTTCTTCAGCACTATTGGCAATTAGGATTGTCATGAGCGAATCTTAGATGGTTAAGATATTCTCCATCTATTTGGAATGTCCTATTATGTCCTTTGTTAGTCCATTTCAGTTGACTGAAGATTTTTTCTAGTGTTGCGGTAAACAGCTTTGGGGATATTGCGGCTCCCTGTCGCACTCCTTTGCCAATTGGGATCTCTGGGGTTGCTTTATATATCATTACTCCTTCTTTGTTTTTTTTGTTTCTTGACCTGTCAATAACCTGCTTCTTTAGGGCTTCTATTATTTCTTAGGATATATCGAGTCCAAATTCTTGTTCGTACTAAATCACCAAAATACAGCAAAACACTTTACTTTTGCACTGAACGCGCGTTTCGTTAACTATATTAGCACATCATCAGTAGATGATTAAAACTCAATAATTATAATAAGAGTTTTAATCATCTGCTGATAATGCAACGCGTGTCTAGTACAAAAGTAAAATGTTTTGGTGTATCGTGGTGATTTAGTGTTTTATTTTATGTGTGTTGATGTTTTATTTTGATGATGTTGTGTATTTTACAATACAGTATGAAATAAAATAGGTTCATTACATTCAGCTAAATGATAATCGGCAAAAAAGAATAATTTTACCTGAATTGTTGCAGCAATTTCAGCTCCAAAACCGGATGTTAGAGGTGCCTCGTGTGCTACTAGCACCCTTCCAGTTTTACATACAGACTGAAACAAGACGATTTTTATCATTTCGGGTGATAATTTATTTCTGTTTTAGGGGTATTTAGACGAATTATTTACCCTGCAAACAGTATCTTGATCCCAAGGCAAAATCGATACCAAATCTATGACCTCGCAAGAGATTTTATATTCTTTTTCTAGTATTTCGGCTGTTTCCGACAAAACGTGCACCTGTGTACCCCAACCTATCATAGTAATATCCTTTCCTGAAAAAGAAAACAATCTCGTTTTGACTTATTGAAGTCTCAAAGTCATGGAATAAAAATACTAAGGAAGAAGCGTAATACTGTTTTTATGTTCATGCATTAGACGCAGAAGCTACGTCAGGGAAATACTAAACATAACATAATTAAAATATGTAAGTTATTATAATTATTTAATAACAAAAATACAGATGCGCTAATGAAGAGTCAACTTTGATCAATTTTTCTGACAGGTAGAGGTAAAGATAGGTAAGTATAAAAATTAAATAAAGGCGAAAGTGCAAGAAAAAAGAATGATAAAAAGTTAATTCTAAATCAATTTCATAGCATTATAATATATAATTACTTGAACGTAAAAGAAACTCAGAAAAGGCCAAACGCTCTTTTACTAATTTACTGACAGCTCAACTCTTTTTGGTATGTAGTGTTTTACTGTTTTGGCTCCCTATTTAGGTATAAAGGCATTTTTAAGTAAAAGAAACAGTAAAAATAGTAAAACAGACAATAAAAACAATAAAAAATCAGAAAAGCCAGTAAAAAGCCGCTGTCTGTCTCAAGTGTACCCATCCCTAGCCAAAATCTAACTGAGTTGATGGTAAATACCTTCCTTGAGAATATCTGCTTTTCCTAATGGCAATTGATAATCCGCAACAGGAACTTCTTCAACAGCCGCTCTGTACAGTGCTTTGGGTTCAAATACCAAGCAAGGATCTGGATCTCTAATACAGCTTAACAGCAAACCTTTGGCTTTGATTGGACCCCTGGGAATTACTACCTAACAGTACAAAAATAGTTTTTATTATTTTAGGTATAGGAACATGATATATCGTTGAAAAGCAAATTTACTTGTTTTTTGTAAAATCTTATATTTTTGTAAAATCCTTATATATTGTAAGTGTCTACATCGCCGTAAATAACCCTATATGTTTAATGGATTCAAATAAATAAATAAATAATGACTGATTACCTTTAAACCTGGTGTGTGAGCAAAATAAGCTTCTGGACTTTGAGAGTGGTAAAGTCCTCCGTGGCCCACAGCTCCACATGGGGCTCTTATTGTTAATTTTCCACAATCGAATTGATCCCCACTTCTGTATCTGTACTTGGCTGCTTCGTTCACTAACTAGAGATGATGTGATCATTATAATAGTGGTTAAGTCAAAATACAGTGTGTTATATATTTGAATTATAGCCAAATACACTTTTATGTTTTTGTATATAGGTATAGGAATGTTAAATATTTCTTATAGTTGTACAGTGTAGAATAAACAACGGTCAGAGCAACATCGTGTTTGTTTGATTCTTCCGGAAATTATTTAAATTAATAATTTACTGGACAGAACACAGTGTTTGCAAAAAGTCTCCATTAAATGACAGGTTTTATTTAAAATGTCGAAAAGCATTTCGTACCTTATTTATTAAAATTTTGAAAGTTGTTGTCTAAGAAGTTTGTTTAGTTTTTCATATAGACATATTCAATTAGTTTTGGTCTTTTTTTACTTTGTATAAAAGTATTTTACTTGATCAAAGGCTGGGAAAATATAATCGGCGAACTGAATTTCGGCGATGGCTGTGGATCCGGCAGCAGCTGCTCCTATACCAAATCCTGCAATTCCCTGTTCGCAGAGTGGAGTGTTAAAGACCCTACTCTTTCCGTACTTCTTTTGCAAATCTAATGTACACCTAAAGAAAAAAAAGATTAGTTTTAAAACAAAACAAACAAAAATTAAGTAACATATTTAAGTTATTTGAAAAATTGTCCCGCTTTACTCTTGAAAAATTTTTATAGTTTTGAAACTCCCCGATACGAAGTGAAATTCTTGAATATTGACTAGAATATTTAGAGTTTAGAATGCAGAATGAGTGGGAGTGGGGATGAAGTTAATCATTGCGACCTTAAAGATATATTGTGTCCCTCTTCTTTGAGTTATAACTCATCATACAGTCTATAACTGATCATACATTAAGATTTTCCTGTTGTAGAGAGGACAGGGTATTTCCCATTCTCCTCTGGCAACAGATATTCTTCCTCTGAGGGTATACAATAACCTTTCACGGTTGGGGTTTGGCCCTCCGTGCCCTTCACAGTCGTGGAGCTTGTCTCCGAATGAGGTAGCCGTGAGGTGGAGGCCGGATGATCTGTCTTCCACCATTTTATTATTTGTATTTATTTAGAGTTTAACAGAATGCAGAAACTTTTGTCAATAATAATAATAATAATATCTGAGAAATATAAAACATACAATTTCCAGATTTTTCCATTATTTCAAGATATTTTTGGACACACTGTATGTAGGGTGTTCCTTAATGACATGCCAATATTTAAGGAGGTGATTTTTTGGATCCACTTTAAGGAAACAATTTCAAATAAATGTATGTATTAAATATTTAACCTTCTAAAAATGTTATAGTAGCTCTGATGTTATTATAGATACTTCATAAATGATTTTTATGTATCAAAAAAAGAATTTGTTGTTATCTCTCAATTTCCATCCAGCCGATACAACAACGATTTCCACACAGTCACCGAATCAAATTTTTAGCGATATGACCCTTGAAGTAATATGACTTTAATTTTTTTGCATAAATTTTCGTCGGATAAAAAAAAAAAATCGAGAGATAAAAATTGTTTAGAAGTGAATGAGAGTTTTTGAAAATAATGTTGTTTTTAAGAGAAGTCAGTGGCGTACCATTTGTTTTTCTTCAAAATATTTTATGTAAAATCCATATAAAGGCCACTGGTTGAAATAAATAAAATTGTTTGAACATAAAAAAGGCATTTTGATACATAGAAAACCTGTATCAAGTTACATAAAAATATTTATAATAACATCGGAGTTATTATGAAGAAGAAATTGGGGAATTTTACCGCCCTGTATCCCAAAAGTTAAGGTGTTTACGTCATACATTCATATATTTTTTTCATAGAATAAGTCCAAGAATCACCCTCTTAAATATTAATACCATAAAATTAAAAATATTTTTTCTCAACTTTCAAACTACACTATTTAAAAAATCATTTTTACTCAATATAAAAATAAGTTACAACCTTTTTAAGGCCATCTGGCAGTAAGGGCCATCAAAATTAAAGAAGAGTATGGGCCAAGTAAATATCGTCTAGGGTTCGACCATGCCAAAATTACCATGAAAGATATTCACTAGTCATTTTCGACGCCGGTTTTTTTTCGATCGTATGGAATTAGCATGTCATCATGGAACACCCTGTATAGTATTTTAACTTACCGAAAAACTCCACCAAACCCAACGTCCTCTCCAAAAACTATAGCTTTCTGATCGGTTTTCAGAGCCGTATCCAAAGCATTGTTGATAGCTTGGAACATGTTCATTTTCGTTCTTTCTCCTTCAAAACAAAACAAATTTACAAAACAGCATATTAAAAGCAATTTTTTAAATAAACACCTTACCATTGATTGCAGGTTTAGGGTCAGGATTATAAACAAAATGACTACATCTTACGATCCTCACATCACTCACAAAAAGGTTTTTTAAAACATTTGGTAGTAAAGAACTTTTACTTAAAGACATTTTGTATCTTGTTTAATACATTTCACTGTTTACTTTTTGAATGAAATGGTGAAATACGAGACACAAATAAAATGAATGCGATAAGTCGTGAATAATTAAACTTAGATGTCTATCGCGTTTTTATTTGAACAAGATGCGTTTTTGTAGCAATAACTCTTTTCTACAATAACATTTCTTTTATTGCTGTAAATATTGATATATCTAATTATGTAGATCTATTATAATTTAGCAACAATTTTGATTTATTATACGATATAATAACAGTGTATATTAGCGTTCAAAATTATGGCACTGGGTACTATATCTCTCTATTCTTATCGCCTTTTGACCTCACTTTAAATATTTTTGAATTATTTTGTAACTATTAAATCCTCATTAAATGTTTCTTTTATCTAGATGAAGTAATAATTATTGCTATTATCATTGCATATATACGACACAGAATATTGTAAGCAAGCATTAGAAATAAAATAACAATATTACAAAAATAATATTTCGTTTATTAAACTTATATAGCTAAATAAATAACTAAATATAAAAATAGTACTATAAATAAAAGTAATGTGTAATGTAACTCGAATATTTAGTTCACTATAATTATTATTGAGTGGTGCTTTCTTCAGATAATTCCTCTATAGGGCTTGGGACATCTACTCGATAATTTCTTTGGAAATTATCGTTAGATTTTTCAGTCTTCAGTTCAGCAATCTATACAAAAAATATATCATAAAAATTACAAAGTCTTGTTAATTATTTTATTTTAGTTTCTTATAATGCTTATTAAATTCCCATTTTTACAATCCAGTGTTCTGAAAATGCTCCGTATTTGTAAAAATACATTTAAAAAAATCGTGGATATACCGGGTGCGTCTCAAAAGTGGCTCACCGTTATAATTTTTTTATTTTTTCAGATAAAACGACGAGATTTTGTATATGTTACTAGTATATGACATAAATTAGGATTGATTGATATACTCAATTGTTTTCGGTCACTTCCGGTTTCACCGGAAATGACTTTTTTTGATTTGATGACAACTTTTGATTTTTAAATGGCACCCTCGGTATTTTTTTACTTTATTCGATAGAAAATGATACTCTGAATTGAATAACATATCATATGTCAACTTTTGTTATTTTCGCATATATGGCTTATTTGAAATTATAACATAAGGCTACTTCTCTTGAACTTACGATCGAAATACTTTTGGAAAATACAAAGTTTTGCCTTCCTAATTTTCATTCTAAAAAGATATAATTGGTATCATTGAATAAATATTTCTTAAAAAGAACGAAAAGTTAGGCATCAAAACTTGTATTATTTCCTAAATTCGTTCATAAGAAGTAGTTTTATCTAGCACAAGATGTATATACGAAGCAAAATACATACGTATACACGCGGTAGTCATAACTGCAATGTGTAAACATAGTTTAAGCGTAATACACAAGCACTGTGTATCCTACGGCACACTGTATATCCCTTACTTTGTGTATACGTAAATGCTATACTGTGGCTATCTTGTGAGGCGGACGTTTAACCTTTGTGCATACGTGTTGAACTACAATGTGTAAAGGTAGTATATTTACATCGGGGGAATTGTGTCACCCTGTGTCTACATCTAATAATGTAAACACACCGTAAATGTGATTTGATGTGCTGTATGGGATGCGGTTCATAACGATAATTTGACTAGAAATACCAAAAGTGTGGTTATGAGCCACTAATGAGCCACCCTTGTTCCATTTGAAAAAAATTAAGACAATTAAAAATACTAAATATTCATCATCATTTCAATATATAAAAAATATTATATAAAAAAGTAAAATACACAAAATATTCATCACTTTTGAGACGCACCCGGTATAAAGTGATTCTAATGATTTTTTACATTAAAATGTTATTTTTTTGTAATGGACTGCTTTATACAGGATGGCGCACCTCATTCGCCTCGGTTGATTATACGAAAACGGAAAGATGTAGAAGCAAAATATTTTATGGGTATATGTGGGAAGGCGATGTGCATAATTTAAAATTATTTTGAAATATACAGGATGTGTCTATAACTAATATCCATGCCAAAGTTATATTTTTTCTTACGGAACACCTGGTATTTTATTTAATTTTTGGGTTCTTGGGCATAAAATAAGGCATTTATTATAAGAATTTAATATGTTTAAATGCCTTGGTTTTTGAAATATTTGAATATGTATACAATAATAAAAAAGTTTATCAATACTTTGTACAGGGTGGGTCAAATTCGACGCTTTTAAATGGAAACAACCTTTTCTATAGGAGATAGACAAAAACTAATATCGGTATCTGGAGCTCAATTTTTGTCAAAAACATGATGGTGAAAACCGCATACCGATATCTGTTACCGTTTCGGAGTTACAAAAATATGCATTTTTAACAAATCGCTGTAACTTTTTTGCTATGAAAAATTTTGTATTTTTATGAAAACATTTCTAAAGCACCTTTTTACGTAGAATTTAATGGTTTAAGTATAATTTTTTTAAAATTAATAATTTAAGAATTATCAACAGAAAATTTGATTTTTTATATGGGACACCCTGTATATTTTAATTTATTGAAAAAATTAAATTTGCCTTTCAAAAAATATAACACACTTGATATTTTGCTCGATTCCTCTTCGAGATATAGAGTATATAAAAAATTCGCCCCTTTAAATAAGTAGGCTTTCAACGGCACCGGTTGTAATGCAAAAAAATTCTAGCTGTGAGCATCAATTAAAACGAAAATAATATTTGCTATGAGAGATGCAGAATTTTATAACAATTTAAAATATATTTAACCAACATCAACACATTTAAACTATATCTATTAACAATAAAAATAAATAGCAAAGGGGGTGAAAGATACCCTCTCATAACTGCTAACTATTTCTAATTCTTGTCTAGATTATACGGAAGAATAAGGCACCTTTATTCTTCCGCAAATACATATATCCGTAGGATTAGATCCATGGGCACTAAGCACAGGCACTAAGTCAGGCGGCCTCGACGACCAACAGCTGAGATCTTGGTTAGCTATTCAATTATTCTTGAAATTGGCTGCAAAAATTGGCTGATAACTTCAGCGTTCAGAGGCGGTGCGTCCGTCGCGTCGGCTTGCTGGAAAAATATGTTTTCGAGTTCCATTAAGGGCATATCATCAATAAGGGGTCCAAAGCCTACTAGTTAACAGTGGCGAAGTTTTAAAAATTCTGTATTTCGAAGGGGATTATAACAAAATATCAAGTGTGCTATATTTTTGGAAAGGTAATTTTAAATTCTTTTCAGTTAATTAAAAATATAGAGGGTGTCCCAAATAAAAAAACAATTTTTCTGTTGATAACTCTTAAATTATTAATTTTAAAAAAACTTATACTTAAACCATTAAATTCTACGTAAAAAGGTGCTTTGGAAATGTTTTCAAAGAAATACAAAATTTTCCATAGCAAAAAAGTTACAGCGACTTGTTAAAAATGCACATTTTTGAAAAACACCCCGTAACTCCAAAATGGTAACAGATATTGATGTGCGGTTTTCACCATCATGTTTTTGATGAAAATTGAGCTCCAGACACCGATATTAGTTTTCGTCTATCTCCTATAGAAAAGGGTGTTTCCATTTAAAAGCGTCGAATTTGACCCACCCTGTACAATACTTTTCAGAATTAATTCTTGTGCTGACTTTCAAGCCAGAGAAATAAATTTTACTAAAAAATTTGAGTGCTTCCTTATACGTATACAGGGGTATCAAAAATTGCTGGTGTATTTAAATTGGTAAATTGGTATTTAACTGGTTCTTTTATAGAAAATCCAATATATCTACTAGTCATCGTAATATAAATCAAAGAACAGCTTCTTTATTTTTCTTGATAAAATAATAAATACTTATTAAACTATTGTAGGTTACTATTGTATTTTTTTAACAATTATTACCACAGATTAACGTGTCATTACCTCTTTCAACAAGAGCTTTTCTTTGGCAGCAGCACCGTGCAACAGAGCTTTTACTTTATCCAACAAATGCGATTTTTTCTCCAGTTCATTTTTAACCTGTTCCAATTGAATTCTGAACTGTTCAGATTGGTCTCGCTGACTCATCATGCCTGTTTTAGCTTCAACTCGCCTCTTACTAATTTGAGTTTGTAAATCCTGGATCTTTTGCAAACTTTCGGCGTGTTGCTCTTTCAATCTGGCATAATCTCGCTTCAGTTTGTCAGCTGATGACTTAAATAAAAAAAAAATAATTGTTCTGAAAAATCTTAAGCTTTCGATATTTCGCAATCCGTTGTCCGACGATATGATAATACGATATTAATTATATTGATAATAAAAAAATAAAAAAAAAAATTGGTTTGGTTTGGTTTGGTTAACCCTGCTTTAACCAATCGAAGTCTTTACATTCAACCAATAAAATTATTATCGTATCATCGCATCGGACAACGGATGTATGAAAATCAAACTTTAGTAAGCCAGTTATTTTTGTCGGTTTTTTACTAATTAAAAAAAAAAAAAAAACATGTGTTTATTTTTTTTTTAATTAAAGTGTTATATACAGGGTGGCTCATTAATGCGAGTGAAGTCTTGCATGATTTTAGAAGATGTATATGTATATCCTAAAATATTTTTATTTTACACAGGATTATCCTAAAAAAGTTATCACAAAGTTGTGAGTCTTTAAATTGCTATCTCCAATTTTATTTACATAAATAGATATAATAGGTACATTTTTTATTTGAAGTTAATATACATTTTGTCACGCTATTTATTTACTGAAGCTTTGGTTAAAATAGTATATCTATAACTTTTTTCACTTTTTTTTTTTTTTTTTTATTATCATTTTTTAGATATGATTATTTTTTAGGGTTCCGTACCCAAAGGAGCAATACGTAACTGGAACGAAGCACACTGAT